TTTCCACGAATCCTTAACTTATCTAAGAGAACTTTACCGACTGGTCCAAAAGACTAAAGTCACCGAGCCGTGGAGAAAAATTCGCATTAACCAAGAAGGAAAGAAGATTGGACAGGGAAAATCATCCTGGGTAACATGTTGAACATGGTTAAACGGAAGACACCCGACTAAGTCCCAGCCCAACTCACCACTCCGTCCGTGAGATGTGTAAGTGTAACCGCGTTCCGAAAGTAAGACACCGTGTCTGGTCACGCAGTTGTAAAGAAGAGTTATAAACCTCTGCTGATAGGTACGACGAATCTCTCCCTAGTGGTTGATGTAAACAGTTTCCCGGTTTTAACATAGGTTATCTGTGAAAGCGCCGGTCGTTAAAACTTTCATTAGTCTTATGTCAATGCACAGAATTTTGCATAAGTCTAATGAAAATTAAAACCTTACAAATAAAAAAGGGTATTGTCTTACCCATACAAAACCACTTGTCCTCGGGACAAAATGACAAAATTACCCGAATAGTCTTGACCTTTGTGTTGGTAAGAACCACATAGACCTTCGAGAGTAAACGTGGGGTGTATTTTTTGTAGTGGCCTACGTACAGAAACGATGACAGAATTTTAGGAAGGAACCTTATACAAATACTTAACATCCATAGAACCCCACGAACCTTTCCGCGGGGATTTACTTACTTATATAGTTACATAAAATAATAACTAGCTATTACATTTATTGAAATTTTGACAAGGTAGTGAACGGGTAACGTAAAGTCGTCGTCGTCCGGTAAGTAAACTAAACTATAGGGGCAATAACCTTTTACAGTTAGTAAAGCTGTTATTTATTACGCCCCTATGTATTTGCAAATAGAAACCGTGTACAATAATTGGTAAGAGGCAAAGGATTGAAAGTTATATAAAATTTCTCCTAGAGAGAGAGTAAACGCACGGCCCCCCGCCCCGGAAGTGTCTGTGGTCCAAACAAACCTTCTGTTCGACCTCTGAGCGCATTAAAGCTCCTAGTGCAGACGACACGCAACTACCTACCCAATCCAAACAGGCTGAACGTAGACCTCCGAGCGGATGTACTCTGCAAACCTTTAGAAGCGCCCCTGTTTCTGCCGGGTGTCGGAACTCTCGCTCCGCCGGCCGCTCCTGCCGCGTCAAGAGAAGGTGCCCGACGCCCTTCGCTTTACGAACTACCCATAGAGCTCGACCGCGAGTAACCACCAAAATGTTGACGACCACTACTCCGAGAGGTACCCGAGCGTTCAAACAAAACACAGTCAAAATGCACGTGAAAGTAATTGTAAAAAGTATTAACAAGGGTTACCAAATAAGAGTCTTTAATTATAAGATATATACATATATAGAACGTGACGAATGCAAAGTATGAAATAATAGAATCGTATAAGATGTGGTGACAAGTATGACGAGTCCGACGGAACGATATAAGTATGGGGAGTACAAATAAGTAGTAAGTAAGTAAGATATAAAATAAGACATTCCTAACACATGTAAAAAAGTGAAAGACGAACAACGTGAGGACCAATCTTCGATTGTGACGTAAAAGAACTACAGAGCTTGGCACATTATACACGTTATTGTATTTCACTAGATAGACCTCGTCCTTGTTACAAAATGCATCATGTATAGACTGTAATTGCTAAATTTGTGTCAACACGTCAAGAAATAGTACGTTTGCCAGTTGGGCCTGAGCCTGCCACCCCGCCATACGGAATTTCAACCAACACGTTAAGCGTTTTTTTGCTTCTCTCTCTTCGCCCTCTTTCTTCGGCTGAGCTCGACAGGCTGAAGTCCGCTCGAAAACTCTGAAGGGCCGACGCTAGCCGATAGAGCAGATGAAAAGCTCGCTCGGCGTGCGCAGAGTTGTTTCGTCGACTGAATGGTAGAGAAGAACGAGTGCTGTACCGACGCCCGACACGTCACACGTGGTCAAGAACGTTCCATCTAACTTATAATGGTAAAACACTCCTTTGAAAAGGTGTTATTAAATGGGTATCATAAGGTTACATAAGTGAAGTCCAAATGCTTAGTCATTGAACATAGTCTAATTTAGCAAAAAGTTTACATTGCGGACCGACTAGTCAAATCGATGAACTAAAAACATAAGTCTAATAACATTGCGGCAATGTAATAAGTAAATGTGGGTTTGGGACGGGCAATACAGTGCTTACAGACAGCTACGGGAAAGCCTCCAAGCCAACGAGTGCTTAATTCACATCGATTTCAGCGAAAATTACTCTTGCAAATATCAAACGAGATCCAATCTGTGCATTTTGGAGGATCCCATCAACAGGCAACGCTGCACACTGGTGTACTGTACACCACTGAACAGACACCACTGAACGTACACCACTGTCATTCGGTTCAATCTCATCCTCACGACAACATGGACCCACCTGGAGCCTGTCCTGGAGATGGTGAAGACCAAGTGTCCAAAGGTGGAAAGGCTTCACTTCTACAGTGATGGCCCGGCAACCCAGTACAAGCAAAAGGGAAACTTTTACTTTCTCTCCACTGAGCCATTCAGGCTTGGTTTCAAAGAACTGACCTGGAATTTCTTTGAGGCCAGCCATGGCAAAGGAGCTCCAGATGGCATCGGAGGGACATTGAAGCGGTCAGCGGACCGAATTGTGCGCTTGGGGGAAGATGTTCCAGATGCCATCACTCTTTTCAAAAAACTCAAGAGACTGGAATCAACAGTGGAGCTCTTCTTTGTCAGTGAAGAGGAAGTTGAAGCAAAAACAGAGGTAAAGATGCCCCGCACCCCTGAAAAAATATTCACAGTAGTCAAGTATTTTGAGGCTCTCTATACATTGATAGTTATTGTTATTGGCCAAATATTTTGAATATTACATCTCATACTACTGTATATCCTCTCTTTTCACCTCAGGTCCCTGCTCTGACACCTATTAAGGGCACAATTAGGATGCACCAGGTGATCAGTGTCTTACCTGGGCATATCAAGTACAGGGACATAAGTTGTTTCTGTCAGAGGCAGGATGGTCCACTGGATTATGCCTGCTTCGACCTGAAAGTAGCTACTCTGAATGGAGTTCCTGTGACCCCCCCAAAGCAGAATGAAGAGAACCCATGGCGACCAGCGGCAGTTGACAGCACACACATTGGAGGGTGGTGCGTCATTAAGTATGACGATGATGTGTACCCTGGCATCATCATGAACGTGGAGGAGGATAGCATTCAAGTGAAGTGCATGCATAGAAATGGAGTAAACAAATACTTCTGGCCAAGTGCACGTGAAGATGTCAGCTGGTATGCAGAGGAACAACTTCTCTGTCTTATACCAGAGCCAAAGGCATCAACAAGCGCTCAGTCCAACTTGAGAAGCTTACATGGAAGTACCTAGAAAATAACTTTATGTAAACTAAAAATGTACTTGAAGTTATGTACGATGATCAGAGCTCTTGGTTAAGGTGTTCAGGTTACCAAACCCAGTGGTGTTCCACGAGCCACTGGTGGTGGAATAATTGATACGATCCTTTTATGGTGTATGTCAGCCCCACTGTCTGCAGCATTGTCCCCACCTGATGCCATGCATTGTCCCACTGTGGTCACTTACCAGGCAGCCATCCGTCCTGGAAAGAGGTCCGGGAAGTAAAAATCACATAAACCGAATTTTATAATGTGCATAATCTAAGATACAATTTGTTAGAAATATACTGTAATACAATTTTAACAAACTTACTATATATTTAGCAAAACCAAAACTACTTGGCGTGAATAACCTCGACCTCGACGGTTGCAAACTACCATAGACAGGAACGAAGAAGTATTCCGAATAGAGGCCACGGTTTCAGACGGAGACAGACACCAACGTCACCAAAAGAATAGCTTACAATGAATCTCACCGGTTGTTAAATTGCTAATTTTCTTTTGCATATAAGTCTTAACCTAAACACCAGAAACCTATGTGGGACCTCCTGGACGGACCTCGTCCAAGACACACTCACAGTACTGTCGATTAAACGAAGTATCCTAAGTAAATAAGTCGGTCTTAAAGATTAATTTTTTTTAATGTCTTTTCTTCCGGTTATGTTTTGAAACTGCGCCGAGAGATTTGTCATCCGTTCTTCGAGAATACTCCGTCGAAACGACTTCCGTTGATGTGACTTATCTTATATATTTACGTT